ACGATTCGCATATTTTAATGTTATTATGCCTAAAAAGAAATCGACTGTTATGAACACAAATGCGACCTACTGACTCAGTTAATATATCATAGTGATAAGTCCAAATAAACAGTATCATCAAGTTGTCTAAATAGCGGAGCAATCGACCCGAGATAAATGTGATCTCTCTTGCAGACAATTTAGTTCACATCCGTGTAATATTTTGTGCTTATTATGTTACAAATGCTGTGAGTTGTCAAGCGATAAGGAAACATACCGAGGGCCTTATGCCGGTCACTCAGTTTGCATATACACAAATGTTGGTGCTTATTTGAGAATGGTGATCTAGATAAGATTTATTTTAGTTAAATTTTGAGAAATATGAAGGTTGCTCACTGAATTAAAACAACCTATTCAATCGTGACAAAGTATCTGGGAATTACTAGATATTAGACTGAAAATGTTTCAATTTAGAATGCTGATCATGTATATATAAAAACGATATGTATACATAAAATTAATATGAAAACGATATGGAAGAAAACTCTATCAATTGCAAAAAGTAATTTTCAAAATTGGTTCAGAATTAGCGACGTAATCGCATAATCCTTATTAATATTATAAATGTGAAACTGAGTTTGTTTGTTACCTATAAGGCACCTTAATGGCTTAACAAATCACTATAAAATTTGATATACATGTACCTACTATATAGGATGGACAGGTATTTAGACTACTTTTTATCTCGGTCAGTAAACATATCTTGGTCACTCGAACGAAGTCGCAGATAAATGCTAGTACACGTATAATAAAATAAAAAAAATATAGACGAATTGACATGTAAGATTCCCTTAAAAATACGAGAGCTTTTTTTGCGATTAGCTTCAACTGTAAAATAAAATGTTACAAAGTTTAAATCGGAAAGACCTACTTTTAAATAGGAGCTTGTAAAACGTAGTCCAATTGAACAGGACATAGCACGAAAATATGACCGTTCGAAGCCCAGATTGAGCTGAAGCACACTCATTATTTATTTAAATTTCGGACCGTATCGCTACCAATTCCCACGCGTTGCGCCAGGTATGGGCCATTCAGTGTTTACTTATTGCAGGATTTTCAATTTTGGCTTTTATAAATATACAGCATAAAGTACTCTCATATCCTGTGTTCATCCTTGGATATTTTTCTATTAAATTTTTGCTCCAAATTGAATAATTCAAGCTTAAAAACGTATAAGGGTAAACAGATTCACATCGCATATTGCTATCCTAGTTAGTATTAAGTCTATTAAAGCAACGTTATGCATGAATGAGATGAATTGTAAATAAAATAATATATATTCTTCCATCCACTAATTTTCTGCAGCATATTTGAGATGGAATATTTTACTCTATGTTTGCCTATACGGGGTCGCCACTGAAGAACCTTTTTTCCCTACCGGTAGTCCGGTTTTATAACCGGTTAATTGCCACTTCGGTTTGCTTAACCTTCGGGCTATATCTGTCACTTTAAAGTATCATTATTAATAAATTGCTTTATAATTACTGATTTTATAAATGTGAAAGTAAGTTTGTTTGTTTGTTACTCTTGGCGCCTTAACGGCTTAATGTTGGTCGGAAATTTGGTATATATATGATATTTGAGATGGAAAGGCACATAGACTTTTTGTCCAGGTCAATCAATATATCTACGTCTCGAACGAAGGCACTGGGGAAAACTAGAATATTCAGCTACAATTTCTAGTTTTAACATCCCTATTAACATGAATACTACAGTCGCTTATGAAGAGCTAAGTATATTGATGAGTACACAAATTACGTAATATAAGGGGGCACGCAACCGTACTTCTCTCTACCTCTCACCCACGCCCACTTTAGGGATAATTCTGCATGTCATTGCCCTAAATCCCTACAAACATCGTTATTGTTTCGTGCTTCAACAATATTCGTGTACGGTTTTTGTTTGTTTTAATCAACGGTGGCTTTTAAAAGACTTCCAGGGAGGACTATTCTATTTTTTATTTGTACCTGTCAATTTATTACATTGTCAATCCTGGACCGAATTTGATAATATTTTTGCAATCAGTAGGGTTCACTTCTATTTTGATCCCATATTTATTTTGTGTCGATTGAAGTTTATGTTTTTCTTTGTGTAGCAACTTATTGTAAAACAAAATGTTTTCGTAAAAACTCGATTTCGTGTTCTAAATTTTAACATTTTCAATCTAATGTGTCTATGAAATATTTTGTCGGTGTAGATTGACGTAGCTGTTTTTTTTTTGCTAAGCAAAATGTTATAACTTAACGTACCATAACGTGGCACGACATTATTTTATCATAAATACAACACAATAACAGTCCATTAACATCCAATTACTGGCCGTTGGTATATTTCTAATAAGATATGGCTTGCCTTATTAGCCATCATTGTTATGTCTTTATCGTACCAGTATAATGAAAATGAAAAAGAAATACATTTAATTGCATGAAGACACAAATTCGCCTTCGATAATAAAGTCCACGATACACACACATCCACGATATCGGAGATTAAAAGCGTTTAATTGAAGGTATTTTGGAGCAAATCTTAAATAATTAAATGCTAGCTTGCAAGTTCAACGTGAACATGTAAGTAGCACTTTATTCAAAGTTGCAGTGCGAATTATCCCATGGGAGTACTTGATTGCGATAGATAGGATTTTATACGATTCCAGGTCATTTCAATCTATTATTATTATTATGAATTTTCATTGAAACTTAATTTAACCTTGAAATCTTTATATACAAGCAATAACTTATTTATTAATGCGTTAAGTGAATAAATTTGATTGATGATAAAGTCAATTAATGATAGTTAATTAATAACTAACAACTATCGTGATGCGAGTCGTTCCAATTATAATTATTTATTTATATTAGCACTGATATGTGTGAACGTCGGTAGAGGTCGCCCTAGATGTATGTAGATATTAACCAAATACTCGTAAGCAACGTGCTGAAAAATTTAATGTACCCATAACTGGCGAACGTGTATGTGTACGTGAGATTTATAAATGTAGAGGAAAGAGGTCTGTTTGGATCGAAGCATTTGGCATTATATTGTTTCTGCCCACCCCATTAAGAAACAGGCGTGATGTATATGTAAATATGTTATGTATACCAACTATATTCATTATATTTTTTTTATTCTGAGCCTCAAAATTATAGGTAACGAAACTAATGGATTATACTACAAAAAATACATCAGAAGACTGTACTTTTTTATTTAGAATAAATCAAGTTGAAACCTTCTTCAATAGAATACAAATCCAGTCATACGTATTGCCTATGTTATTTAATTTATCAAGACATCAAGCATTCAAATTCTGCAGAAAATCTTTCCTTGAAGGTTCTCGTTATATTTCCAAGCTTAATTTGTATTTAGTCGTTTTGTCATTTTAGGTAGACCAGCAAACAAATCCTCTCCTTTTTAAAATTACATCTGGACCCAACCCAAATGACTTTGGGTCTTTATATTAAAATGTCGATTTACGAGGAAGCCTACAGAATAAATTACCTCGAATATAATGAGAGACAGAAAAGTAATTTGCATTAACAGAACAATTATGTATGTAATATAACATAATTACTGTTAATATAAGAAAAAGTGTCAATTTCATTCGAATTCGCATTTATAGAAAAACTCAATGTTTTGTCATGTAGCATGCATTTAAAAAAAACTATATATACAGGTTAGAATAGAAATTATTAGCATGCCTTTAAGGGAGTGTTCTATGAGTAAAATTGAATACTTTCACCAAAAAAACATGGGGCAAATAAAAATTTGCGTCTCTCATGTTCACATGTGGCATCAAGCTGTTTTTAAATTAGTATGGGAAACTTGAAATTTTTACCGTTTTCGAATTTCTGATTCACAAAATGTCTGTCTTATATTCTGTACTATGGGTAGATTTATTTAATTTATCCTTTATTGCACAATAAAAAAATTTACAAATAACGAGTTTAATGCTATATGGCATTCTCTACCCGTTAACCATAAGGGGTAGACTTAAATTTACGTACGGCTATTTGGATTTTACTCTGTATATGTGTTTATGATTAAAATCTGTTTAAAATATCAGGTTTTTTTTATACAACGTAGAATGGCAAACAAGCTGACGGCCCACCTGATGGAAAGTGGTAACCGTCGCCTATAGACATGAGCAGTACCATGGAAATAACAGGTGCCTAGTACTCACAGTATGAGCTCTGATTAGTTCAAAACTAGATGGCGCTGTGTCATGTCTAATGTTATTTATTTACGTGTATTTAAAATTAAATGCACTGTGGTCCCGACAAAGAATGGGCCACCCTTTCTTGTGTGTCCTAAAAGGCGATTAAAGGAACTTAATGGTCGAGGGATGAGCAGCAGCGTCCCTTTTAAAATATGCCTAATAAAATAAGCCTAACTGCAATTACCTACCCATCTACCAAGCTTGGCAACTAATAATAAAACCTTCCTTATGGAGAAGGCTTATATTCAGCAATGGACAGTTAATTGTAAGTGAAGATTCTTGCTACAGTCTTCATCATTGCCATTATCTCTAGACGCTTGTATTTTTAACACGAATTACTGTTTGATGTTCGTAACCCCCGCATATAATATTCTCACAATAGCATTATCTTTTAGCCTTCAGATAAATATAATGAACAATGGAGACGTGCCATGCGGGCCCACAGTTGCACTTGACACGGTTTTCATATTTTGTTCTATTATGCCACCATAATAAATCTAAATATAATTAATCCTCTTAATATTATGAACTAATCACGCTTCAATATTTAAACATGCATTTGAAAGGTACTTGATGGATTGTCTTTGTCGAGTGTGATTGAATAACAAACATATAAAAATCTTTTCCAATTTCCACATTTTTTTATTATTTTTTTAACGTTATAAATAATGTATAGTATTGTTTTGTACTTAATAAAAATATTTAAAATACAAAAAGAAAATTGAAAATACTCTTTTATTTCAATATAATTTTGCAGTATAATTTATGTAAGATATAAAATTAAATAATTTTTATTATGTAAACTAATTATATGTTACAAATACTGTAATAGTAAATTGTTTATATAGTATTATAATTTAATTGAGGGATAGCATTAAAATATACTTAAATTAATATTTGAAGCTAATATATCTAAATTTATAATACTTATAATTTGAAACGACTTATAGCGACTAGATACGAGTACATTATGTCTATTATTTTACAAACTAAAAAATATAGGAATGAAACCTTGGATATAACAATAAATGTACTTAATATATATTTATTTTAAAATATATAAAATTCCTTATTGCAATATCATATGCTTCCTCCTACTTATAAGAATCTCGCTACTCAATAATTTAATTTATAGACTAATTTTTGTTATTAGTTGTATAATTTTAGTTACGATAATGACTATTTAATATTTAATGTCAAATCCATAAAAAAAAAATCTTTTATTAATGACGTAACTTTATTTAGCGTTTATAAGTAAGAGGATGTATTTGAATAGTCACATTACCATTTTATAAACAATTATTATAAACTAAACAATGAGATTACATTGATTAATTATAAAAGATTATATTTGGTAAGACTAATATAACTTTAAGCAACTAACAGTTTTTATTGCGAAAGATAGCTGTCATTGTAAAATAACTTGTCAAACTTGACATGATGTTTTGACAGATGTCAATAAAGTGACAACTACACTTTCAGTGTAAAAAACAGTCGTGCCTTAAAATTGCTACACCCTCTCCATTCTTTTATTTTACAATTTATCATTTACTTTATAGATACTGTGAATTCAAATTAAAAATATGTAAAAAATTATATAAACTGCTTAATATTATTTAATTTCTCTAATTATTTCTAATTATTTTCTCATTTTTATTTGTCTTTAAGTTCTTTTATATAAATAATAAAAGTAAAATAAAAAAGAATTGACGGGGATCTATTTGTCATCAGTTATTGTAAGTAAAGGTTCACGTACAATTCAGAGACATTTTTCTTAACTTAAATATTAATCTATCACAACACACAAAATATCACAAATTATCATAATATAGCAACTATTATTATATTGAAATACAATTGGTACAATCAGAGACTACTATCAGTTTATAGGTCTGTGCATATAGTATATATAATTTTATAAAAAGCTATAAATTTATATATAGATGTTGAATTGTATAAGATCTAAAATAGCAAATTCTAGACGTTTATACATCGTCGTTGATATTTCAGTTTATTACATGTCAAAAAATGGTGAAACTTAAAAACATATTTATTTGGAAAACATCTGGTATTATGTATTTTTTTTTATGTCGTATATGTATGTATTGCTAGGTATTGCAGTATTAACGATAGTATAAATTAGCAATTATACAATTCATATTTTGCACAACATGAGTAGAATCATCAGATATTTCTAACATAAGCCATAATTTTGACTAGTACGGCGAATTTTATTTCATTGAGAAATATACGCCTATATATAAAATGCATTAAATTGAGCAACTATTCCTATTGTAAATACTGAACTATTTTAACTCTTCGACGTGAAGATATTAAGAAATTTGGTTTTGATGTTTAGCAACGTTGTAAACGACCGCTTGACTTTTTTCTTCGGCGTCCTCTCTGGTCCCAGGAATGGTTCCGAAAATGATTTTTGTAAAGGAGTATGAACTGGCATATCTGGCTCCTTGGGTAACTGATATTTATATTCTTTAACCACCTTCTCTTCTCTGGGGTCATATCTGTAGAGAACAGAGTAAGTACGTTTCACTTTCTTCGGTACTCGAGGAGCATTGGCAGTCCTTTCACTTTTGCATCGCTTGACTTTATTCCGTCCATAGTAATCCTGGTAATTGTCAGCATCGACGTATATAATACGTTTTCCTAATGCCTGCTCTCTTTCTTTCTTCAAACTCTTCCACGATGCAATGACAGACTCGCGACGGAATGTTTTATTTGGATTGTGACGGCTGATGCAGTATGGTTGATCATCTTGAATGTTGGATGTGTCTTTCAACGGAGACCCTCTTGGGCTCGGGCTGTAGTCAATCTCGTAGTCATCTCTCGACACCTGAAACCAGATAAATATGCCATCAGTTGTATACAATATACATGGTTAAACAAAATCATTGTTGATATTTCGTAATGTCTCATGAACCACGAAAGATCTTGGGGATTATTCAAAGTAGCAATAACATAAATATCGTACGTGACATCATAGACGCAATCTTAAGGCTCGGTAGACTGTCCCTTTCTAATGTCGGTTGTTTAGTGCTCTATCCCTCTCTAGTTCGACATTGGAGCCCTTCGAACGGTGCCCACATGTCTACCAACACCTGTCGCTCCCGCCATATGCTTTGATCACTCTGGAAGTCATTGGCAAATGTTCGTAATACGTATTTTTTTAACAATGAAATGTCAGGAAGTTGGTTAGAAGATCCATCGTTAAAAATGATTTATGTATCAATCAAGGCTTCGTTGTAAAAAGCGAATAAACGTTTTTAGGTGATTTACATTTCTAACGGAGGTATATTTGTTTCTTTAGAGCAAGAGAAGGTCTTTGATCAATTATTGATTAGGAATGCATTGTATTTTATGTTCTTTTCACCCATTTTAAACAAGAGAGATTAAACAAAACTTCAACGCATTACATCAAATTTACGAGTATATTACATCAACGCTTCAAATTATTATCTATTTTATTTACCCTAGTTAAATCGCTTCAAATACTAGGTGTATTTATTCATCATCATCATCATCATCTGTTCATCATCAAAACGCAAACGCACATCATTAACATAATTTTTGGTTAATGTTTAAGAGATTACAAAAATTAAAAATCAGTCGACAAAAAGTTGATATGTTACCCAAACTCTAATCAATTTTTAATTCGATAAAAGTTAAAGAAAGCAGAAAATTTGAACAGTGATTTGTTAGGCAAAACTTAAATAGTTTGTTTTATAGTGCAAAAGCTTTTCAATTTAATGACTTCGTTGGAAACTCGTTGCACAACCTCAGAGTGGTCATTTAGTTACGTTGTGTTTAGTTTTAAGTCTTTTGATATTGTGCAATATTTTATGGGGCTTTTCTTGAAATTCCGCTACGTTGTCGGCCACTGGTCAGATAATAGGTCAAACTGAAATAGACTGTTTATTATTGGATTTCATTAGAACATGATGTATATTCACTGATAGAAAATTATGCAAGTTTTTATTAGTGCTAATTTTAGTACTGATTGTTTTTTCTAAAAATGTTATTATAAAACCAGTGATTAGTTTCTTTTTCTTCATTCGAAATAAAACTAGAGAAATTGTTTTAAAAAATATCTAATCCATTTAGAAGTTATTATTTATTCTTAATGTTATATGTAACTGAAGACATTTGTGAGATTTCTTCTACATTTTGATTGTCTGTGCATATTGTGTTCAGCTAATTCAAAAAGAAAGTGTTACACCTTGAAGAAACGAGATGCTTGGGTGTCTGTTGTTACTGACACGACAAATCTGCTCAGTCTGTGTTTTGACAGCTCGTGTTGTGTAACATTATTTTTAATGTGTTACCGTAAAAAAAATAACAGTGCACTGCGAATTCGGGTCGGCTCGTTAAATGGGTCACTTTGAAATAGTTGTTCTATTAGCAGAGTTAGTTAACACGGTCTAATTAAAATGGCGAATTAACTTGTCCGTATCTAGGCTGCGATATTTTTTTATTTTTAATATTTTGCAACTTTTAACCTTGTGTTTTTGTTTACAGGTAATTTATTTTGACCATTCGACCGAGTGTATCTAAAATGGGTGAGTTTTACAGTATATACATATTTTTTTCGTGCCGTTTCTACATCGTATTCTATTTCATTCGCCAGTACTGTGATATCGCGTTAAAATAAATATACGTATATATAGTGGTTTTGTACTTACTAACGTGCATAGTCCGGTTTATTTGTAGCCCGTTATTATAGGACTGAAGGTGATAACGACAGTTAAATTTGTCCCGAGTTATTTTGGACAATACTTGAGTTTTCAATGCAATTCTATTATTATCCAACGTGTTGCATATGTTTACATATTCTAAACATATTACGTATTATTATAAACACTGCATTTGCTAGCGATTTATGTTTAACAAGATTGAAACTATTCTTAATACAAATTTTGTTACACATTTCGAAATAAATATAAAATTTTGTTGTTTAAAGCAATAATTTAATAAGCTATGTTATATTGATTTAATAACTTAATCTTCGGTTTTAGAGTTATATTTTGTGTCTAATCTCCAAGTTTAAATTTTAGAATACCATTCGTGTTTGAAAAATTAATGACTTTTCTTTCAGTCGGTTAAACATTTCTAATTGTTAATGCAAGTAAGTTAACTAACCAAGTGTTAAGCCTAGTACTATACGTGTACTATATACCTTACAATATTTGTCTATAGTGCATAATAATTCATGACCTGATATTATACACGTCAGTACAGCGCGCATAAATTATTCAAATAGATTTTTAGTGCCCCAGTATAGGACAGGCCAAAATCAAAAGCGACTCTCTTAGTTTCGACTTAAAGCTCATGTCTGTATGAATGTTTCAATGCCTAATTTTTCAACACCGTTAGTCCATATTTCGAACAAAAAAATATTACACTCGGCACAGATTTTTTTAATTTACAGCTACATATACATATGAATTCACTCTTCACTTATATATGTATGTTTTATCTAGACTTAAGTCGATTGTTATTTAATTTTGATAATCTACTGTAATATTTATTGATAAATTATAGGTACTTAAAAAAACGGTTATGCCGATAGTGACAAAAGTCAACAATATAAATTTTTGTTATGTAATATTTACTCATAACTTCGTCCGTCTAACCGGGATAAAAAGTATCCTTATATCCTTATCCATTTCACGAGTCTCACCAAATTTCATAGGGATTGGTTAAGCCGTTTAGACGCTATAAGGTGACAAACAAACTTACTTTTACATTTATAATGTTACTGGATATAATTCAGTGTTAGATTTAGAATAGAATAGAATAGAAAATCATTTATTCAAATAAACTTACATTGAAGCACTTTTGAATAGTCATTTAAAATTTAATTCCATACATTTTTATATTTCTTATAGATAATCTGTATTGTGTAAAATCATTGAACGGATCATTCGACAGCGAAGTAAATTTTCGAAAACTGAACTAGGTATATACGTAAATTTGAAAAACTCCTATTTATTTTTATAAAGTAGCCAACAACGTAATGAACCGCTAATTATTGGTATATTTATAAATGAATTGATTGAATATGAGCAAATGACGTCATCAGTGACGTACGAGCAAACGTACTTTTGATAACTCACGTGCGTAAATAATACATACGCGGATACTGTTTCACTTAAATACAATCAAAGTTATTAACACATATTTTACCGTATATTTATAGAAATGTATTACTATTTCAGAATTAAATTCACTTTCATATGTCAATTCCTATTATTGACATTGAATCGCCAAGTATAAATATAGCGTTGTGAAAATGTACCGTGGATCGGGTCACGTATCTCTTTTTTAGAGCAATCTCTCAGGGTTATGGTTTAATTTATTAGATGTTAAATAAATTTATTCAATATCGTAACGTAATTAAGGGGGTGTCTCGTGATACCAAAGACTCAGAAGTCTCCGGATTTAGAAGTAATGGGAGGATTTTAAACTATTATCCTTTGTAGCTCAAGTGGACGTTAATGGAGGAGAATGCTGCAACTTATGGAAGAACTTAAACTGGCTTCGGTTCAATGGAGTAAATTTTTATTTCATTACAATTTTTTATTAAAACGTCTAATGTAGACGTGTTAAGAAATTATTAAGTACATTCTTTCTCTGTGTAACGATAGAGACATAGTGTTACTAGTTCTTTTCATCTCTAGAATGTAAAAAGAGAAACTTAGAACAGCTATTTTTTGGTAAAGAAATAGATATTTAAAACTCGATAAAAAAAATCAATATCAAGCAAATAGCAAGTTAATATTCTCATTTAATGGAGAGAGATCTAGTTGTGGGTCATTAAAATATTTGTTTTGTTTTCTTAACTTTATTATCTGTTTTATTCATTCTTGCTTTAAAGCATATATTTAGTCTAAACCTTTCTAATATATCTAGGTCTTTACTCTTTGTTTTTAACTAAATTATCAGCTGCATTCACAATTAATTTCGTTCGTTCTTGAGTTATTTCAATCTCAATCTATTTGATAAGTAGAAATCTTGTTTTTTACGTTTGTTTTAGATTAAATCAACATTTAGATAGTGACGAACACATACAAACATGTGTAAATAATATGTAACACCTTGGACACGACAGTGGTCAACGCTAAGGTCGTCAACCGATTTCTAATCTATCGGCGACAATCAAAAATAGTTATTACGTACTACGAATGAGACATTGAAATCTTCCTGACTAACCATTTGTGTGCCCACGCGCATTTTTCCCTAACATCTTCATTTTACGATGAGTAATCAATTTTTTTTATCTTTAATATTGCACCACAGTTATGACGTGGTTCATTGATTATAATACTCAATCAAAGACAGTTCAATAACTTATAAGTATTTAGGTCGCACCCATCTTTTCCTCGCGTACTCTTGTATAAATAATACATCCAAATAAATTTCAGTGTGATTGAAAAACAGTCATATAGATAAACATTCTAATTTGTTATCTTACTAGCTAATTTTCATATATGAATTAGTATGATTTATCGAATTATCAAAATTATTAACATTCACATTCATTTGATTTCTAGTTTGTTTGTTTTCAATACAAAGACTATCAATAAAATATTAGAATGATAAAAAAATGTTTCTTCAAGAAGTTGACAAATTAATATAGTGTTCGTGTATATTTTTTCTAGACTCATGTTTAACATTTATAACGATGACTCCAACGACCATGTTAATCTATCACATTCCACACAATTCGTTTCATTTTATAAAACGTGATTTGTATTTATCTGATCTATATGCTCTCGGTCCCAGCTTTCGAAATCATGAACCGGAATAACTATGACAACTATTAGTGTGATTGTTGCAACACGATGCCTAAGTACCAACATGTCAAGTCTAGGTACATTAGCCTCCCCTACCGTCGGTGAAAGTGCAAAAAAATTCGCTAAGACCGGTTCGCGAATCACAAATGTCGAAGGCAAAACCCGAATTGACAATCGACACATCTATCAGATGTTATGACAGCGTATTATGGCAAACACTTTCTAATTTTATTTTTATTATCGTGTGCCGTACTATAATGACCGGTTTAAGGCGTGTTGCAACAGAATCAAAAATGACAGTTCCATTTTTGAAAATCAAAGTCAATCCGCATAAGCATAGACAAAGAGAATATTTATAGTACAAAGTGGTTTGTTCCGTTTTTACGATTGTGGGAATTGGTCATTAAGGATGAAAGGGAACTTATAAATCTCTTAAATCCAATGTTCTTAACCATCAATAAAAATATCTGCATTTGAATATAAATTTAACTTATTAGAATATGCAATTATAACATAAAATAATCAAGTGTTCGTTATAATTGCTTGATTATGTTATTGATATCTTTATAATTTAGTGTAAATATTTTAAGTTGTTTTATTTAATTGACTGTTTAATGACTTGTTTAAACCGTTGTTGAATTACTGAATTTAGATGTTTTAACTTAATAATTTATTAATAGCAATTAATATCTAAATTAAACTCAAAGTGATTTAAGCATCTTAATTTAATAAAATCTGTTACCTAATATCAAAATCTGTCAAGGCTGCTATCGATCTAGATTGAAATGACCTTTAAGCTGTATTAAATTAGAAACTTCAGATATCAATCTTTATGATTAATATCGAACGTTTTAATCAAACATAGAATATCGATTGTCGTAGATTAATTTGAAATTTAAACTTCGAAGAGAGAGCTGTGAGAGTCAGTAACCGTTGAGCGTACCAAGAGCGGCAATGTCAAGAGCTTTACCACAAAAAGACGTAATTCCATATTCAAACACGGGGCACGCACGCGCTGCAGTTCAATGACAGCGAGCATAGACAAGCTAGTTGCCTTTTAAGCACATTAAACTGGCCATGCACTTTGCGTAATAGTCGCCGGCCGGTCCACAGACCGTATTCCGTAATCAAATATATGAAACTAAGTTGTTTATGGTTTTATGCTTTTCACACGATTATAAATTTACGAGTTTTTAAATTACAAGATTATAAATTACGAATTTCTATAGCTTTTGTCTTAATTATACTACTCTTTATTTGATTCCATCTTGAAGAATCTTGCTTTCAGTAATTAATCATTATAGTAATAAATAGATACTAAACTTGAAAATAAGTTGTATTCCTCTCGTAATAAGAAATTACAGATGTATTTTACTTATTAAGAATTTCAGTAAGTTACTTACCACGCTCTCCCAACTACCACCAAGGATAGACTTGTCCAACATGTTGAGACACCAAAATCCCTTCAGTAACAAACACAACACAGTTCAAAGTTTTTATTTTGATATGCGTCCAACTTTACGAAATAGTATTAGGTAATGTTGTTAGACGCGGGAGTAATCACGTTGTCACTCGGGAGTAGTATGTATTTGGCACACGTTCGCTGCGCTCTTCCCTGAACGACTGAAGCCGAAATTGTTTCAGACTTGTATTTATAGTGGCTACACGAAAGAGGGCGGGTTACAGGAAGACGCTTCCTCAGTGGTTTCCACTTAACACGTTGTCAGAGTGCCTTATTTTAAGGCAGGTACTTCGAGGAACGCCAGCTAAAAGTGCCTCGGGGTGGTGCACCCTACTTAATTTCCTTTTTGTTTATAGAACTATGTCACATATCTTAGGGATAATAATTCTGAGAATATATCATCTTTCAATAGTTTATACTTCCTTTTTTATAACATGGGTAAATCTTCCGTTTAGATTTCCAGATAAGTGAGATGTTATATACAATAATGTATCTTCAAAACATCATGAAAAAACTTCTTGTTGAAAAAAAAAAGATTAGAACTATTGATTATAATTTCTATTCGATCGATGTGTACTCTATTATAAACTAAACTATCAATCAACAATCGTTATACATGAATCGTATTTAGAAAACAATTTTGAAAATTAGCGTGTCATTTTCTTTGTCAATTAAATTAATTTCTTGAATATTTAAATCCTGCGACCCGGCATACTACGATAGAAGTTTATCACAATATTATTTATACAAGTTTATTTATACATGTTTCTGTTTTTACTATATTATGCCTAAAGCGATGATATATATGATTCTTTCGATTCGATTCTTTTCGACTCATCGACATGAGTTAACAATGAAATTGAACCTCGAACATATGTCTTGATAGTTTTTAGATACGTCAATTATCGCATACGGGGGGGGGAAAAGGATTGTTAGCAATGGAGTTTGACAGCCCCATTGCTAGCAATATGCCTTATTAGGACAACCTCCACGTGGTTCCCCCTGGAAACCATCGTGAATAATTCTTGTTGAATTCGTCACGATGGGCTAACTGACCTGCTTCATCCTCACCTATCATCCTTCATTGGTGCCCCGCCGGTGTATACCGATAGCGCGGGTAGGGTTACCATTCCATTATCATCCATTTAAAAAATTATCGCATACGAGTATATAATAGCATAGTTATAGTAACTCGAGTAAGAAAATGGTTTTTAAATTGATTAAATTATGAACTACTTAATTTCACAAATAAATTACTTTAACTTGAATATTATATCGTCAGGTTGATTATATTTGATTTAATTGTTATTAACGTTGAAACCTTTCAACGTCATAATGTTATAATATCATATTTTGGAATATCTATATTTCATTGAAACATTTACTAAATTTGTTTCACTTTATTACTCTACCCGTTAAGTGTTAGATGCACTAACTTAAATAAAGTACAGGATACACTCGAGTCACATTGACGTCATTATACGCCAATCGAACGTAGGCCTTTGATTGCACCATAAAATCTGGCTGTAAATAGATTTAAGATCCTCATTTCTTACTTTGTGTTTCAAAGTTTACAATTGCTGGTATCCCATCATCTTTATAATTTTTACTTTGGCTCATTTTTACATGATCAATAATGTCAATGGCGTTATTGAATAATAATTTAACCATATTGCTTTAAACTTAGTAGAATTTCGCAGTTTTACTTGCTGTTGTATCAGATGCTTTAACGAAACAAGTCGTCGCCCTGACCGCATCGTTTATTTTCCTAAGGGACTTGGCTCGTCTATTCTGTAGAATAGATTACTTGTTAATTGAATTAATTGCGACTGTTAATGACTTGTTTGTAGTACTGTATCTATTTTTGTCTACTGTGAATATGCGTTGACTCCGATTAACCGCATGAATACAAGTATTTACTGATGTCGTAACGTGCGGCAGTCAACTTTAGTTTATGCAGTTGGGCTTATAAATTATGATTGAAAAGTGTTATCTGTGTGTGTGTTAAATTTTATTTTGTATTGCACACTATATGGATTTGCCGAGTGGTCCCGGCATAGAATAGGGCATATTCCTATTCCTTCCCCTCCCGTGGGTGTTGCAATAGCCTCTCAAAACATATCCAAAGCCTAACTGCGGTTGCCAACCCACCTGCCAAGCGTGACGACTGGTGGCAAAACCACTCAAGAGGAAGGCTTATGTTCTGCAGTGGATAGTTAAATTCTAATATGATGATAATTATATGGACTCGAATATTTGCATTATTTCTAACAAATACAAAAACCTTTTTGACATTATTCTGAATATGCAATAAGGATGCTCAAAATACTTCAACTATTTCAGGATCGGGTGAAAACAGTGATTTTCGTGTAAAACCGTCCAATCATAGTACTTAGTCATAATGCATCGGTTTGTTATCTGTCTCTATCTTCATAGCAAGTCCATTAAGAGGTAAACATATTACAGAAGTGGCATCTTTATCTATAGGTACATAATTCATTTTATGCTCACATTCTGCTTCAGGAGAATCTTGATTTCTTTTTTTATTTCTTTGTTTTTCTATGTTATTACAAAAGTTTACTCTCTATAACATCACCAATCCTTTTGTCATCATAATTGTTTTTGCATTGCATTTGTGATAATAATCTTTTTTATTTCTTTGTTTTCTTAAGAAACTATGCCTAAGTCGTTTTCCTTTACCATATCCCTGTAAATTCTAAACGTGGTACAAAAATACATGTGTATTTTTAACTCATGTGAACCATGCCGACAGCAATAGCTCTTGAAATATAAATAAGTACATAAATCTAAATAAACTTCCGATCTAAAATAACGGAATTACTTTCAGTGGAATGGAGTTTTTTCTAAGTTGTTTTAAAACAAATTTTACCTTATTGTTTTCATAAAACTGAAACGCGTTTACGCGATGTGCGTTTACTAGAATCCATTAGAGCTTAGTTTTGCAATGAAAGCTCGTAATGTATCCACATGACGTTACGTTTTTGGAGCAAATGCGTTTATGACGTCAAATTATTGCGTTACGCCTTACAATGCTTTGTTATAATTTATTGGAGCAATTTTTTATAGTATACTAAACATCCGCGACTTTACCCACGTGAAATCTTCGATGACGTCATACGAATCTTACGTTTATAATTTAGCTGTAAAAACGTAATAGACTTTCGCAAGTTACTAACGTCGATTTTTTTTTCATAGGTATATACTATTAAAAGTTTGATTATTATATATGATATAATCAGTTCTTATTATTCTATTAAATTATTTGTCTTAATTTTTTGAGAACCCGCGACCGAGCTTGTTGGTTTATTTTATATAGTACAGACTTCTGTTGTTCTTTTTGAGACCACAACTTTCTTGCCTTCTTAGTTTTATGTCTTACACCTTTAAATAATAAAAAAGTAATAAGAAAGTTGTGTTTATGTAAATAAATTTTAAAACATATACTCGTATGAGTGTAATGAATAGATGTTAAGATAGGATTTATATAATAACCAAGTCACCGGTTAACCCGTAACAGAACTTGAAAGTTATCTTTATTATAACTTTAAACGTCCATTAAAATTTGACCACGACCATTTACTAAACGCTATTTGCCAACAATTAATTTAATGTACTTACGGCTCAATTAATCACAGAGCTTTTATTGTTTGTACAGTGATTTGGATTTCGTCCAATATGGGGTTTATAATTCATGTAATTTCTTTATTTCTATCACTTTATGTTGTATCCAACAATGACATTGTATACAGCTGTGATGAATTAGGGGCTCACTACACTATCATATGTATATGATCATATGTAGATCATTTTATGAAGCTATTGACACCGTCGTCCAATATGAGATTTGTAAACTGTAATGCAATTTGTTTTATTACTACATTTTTTGTTGTAATCAACAATAATATTTATTGTTACATATACAATCATTTCTAAACTAGGTATAACATTATTAGTCCTCAGGAATGTCAATATTGTAGATATTTTGTAGTGTAATATACTCATTTCATATACATATGATCCAATGTATATATGATAGTGTGATAAATCCCTTACACTGATGTTTACCAAAACATACAAAAGGGAACCCTGGTGGCGTGAGTTCAGTATTGTTGTCAGTTTTCATTCAGATTTATGTTTCACGAACGCCTTACTTGAGCATAATAAATTGTTTGTTTGTTTGCTCGTACCATATAAAATATTTCGAGTAAGTACCACTGAAGTGAAACTAATCCTTAACCTCTGATGACTTCAAAAGCGAGAAGTTAACATATATTGTAAAATTCGCCCATTTTTTTTTTCGTGTATGTTAATAGTTAAATTTTAAACTTTTTTTTTTTATAATTGTGTTTACAATCAATAGGATTTACTCCTATATTGGTCCTTTATTAATATTGCTATGAGAGGAAAAAGGTATATAACAATTGTTTTACACAAATGTGGTAGTTTATTTCATATGTATTTAATTTATTGGGCTGAATCCAACCATAACATTGTTCAAAAGAATAATTGAATTTGTGTTTAGAAATAAAAAAAAAAATATTGTTTCTTTTTTGTTTTCATTAAAGTTTTTTTTTTCTTGGATATTATGAACATTTTTTTGTATATTTGAAGGTCTCTTAAATAACAATGAACATTTCTCTTCAGTAAAGAAAATGTAACGTTCAAAATTACGATCGTTTCCATAAAAAAAAAATCAAATTCGAACGCGACAAAATTAGAATGAGACCAAACACGTGAGTGGACCATATTGAATGCAATAAGAATCATTAATATCAATTCAGTATCGTCCAAAATGTCTTTTCACATACCTAATAAAAATACAGTCCAATTGCAATACGTCCTTTTTGTGTTTACACACTGTTTTTACAGTGTGTATACTATATAAAATGAAGACCTTGGTGGTTTAGTGGTCGGTGATCTTTACCTTCGTAAGTTTGATTACCGCACAATAAAAACATTTCCTTTCCGTGAGTTTCGCAAGAGGCAACTAAGGGAACTTAATGGTCGAGGGATAGGTGGCAGCGTACCTCTTAAAACATCACTAAAGCCTAACTGCGACTGCAAAACGTAACAACTATTGGGAAATCCCCCAGGGGGATGGACTATGTTCAGCAATGGACAATTATCAGCTG